GAGGGGGAGAGAATAATGAAGAGAATGATCAATACTGTGCCTTAATTAATAACCTCCACTGCAGTCAGAACATTCATGCTCTCTCAGTTCAAGGGGTTTTCTTTTTCTTTTTCTTCTCCTCCTCCTTCTCCTCGCCCTCATCCTTCTCGCTCCTCCCCCCCAGTTCTCCACCTCTTTCCTCATCATTAATCTCTGAAAATCGTTGGCTACATACATTCCTCCCAATCGATGCAATTCCACCGAGGTCTTGTCTGATTTACCACATGGCTGAATCCCTGTATGAATCTTGACTGGCCAGGGGAAGAGGGACAGAGCGGGAGAGAGAGATGGAGCAAGGCGGATGAGAGGAGAGGCGCATTAGATGACAGAGACCATCATCATTATATAACCTCAGCCAAAGTCACAGACAGTAAAAAAGACTACAGGCTAAGTCCCGGTCTGATTTACTCAAGGCAAGGTTAGCCGTGGCAAGAAATTACCATAACACTGATGCCTGCACACACACAGAGGAAGGTACACATTGGTAAAAAAGCTCACAAATAGACAACATATGTACCAGCTGAGGTGCAGACACACTTGCACACCGGCCTCCCACCATTTAGGATTCATTTCAGGGCTCAGGAAGCAGGGCTTTGGCTTTAGCCAGACAGTCAAACAGCTGAGACCATGCTGGCTTGGCTTGCAGCTCCACAGCTCTGATCCAGGCTGCTACCACAGGGTGCCACCGAGCTGGGAGCAACACAGCGCAGCCATTGGGTCAGGGCTTCTCTGACCTGAATCTTTGAACAGCCCCCCTGAAACACGGGGGCCTATCATCGCAGCCTTTCATTTATTTCCCCTCACTCACCAATTTTAGGTCAACGCCGGCAACTTTTTCCTGGGTAATCTTGTGAACGCAGGGGGAGATAGACACCTGTGTTTGAGCTCAACATAGGTTTTCAAAGATTATCTTAATGGCGCAGAGGCCACAGGTCAGCCAGAGTTTGAGCACCTGCTCCGCTCTCACAGACGACACACACGTATGCGCATCCAGGTCCATTTAGTTTTCCGTGGAGTTGCCAAGTGGCTTTTCATTGACGGAATTGACTGGACGTGCCCTCCTCACTTGTCATCATCAGGAATATCATGTGCTGTGAAACCGTATGGATCTCCTCCACCTGACAGGAAATCTTTGAGAGTGGCCATTGATCTGTATCAACCATGCCCGGCTCACCAGCCATCAATCAACGTCGAATTAACGGTTTTACGTTAGTGTGCAATGTACCAGACTCCCGGAGCGATCTACTTAATGTATGCACGTGTGTGCATGTGTAAATGAATGAAAAGAAAGACAAATGGGGGGGCTTCTCTTTCACTCTGTCATACACAAAGTTGCACAAGCACAAGTCAACACTGCAAACAGCAAAATCAACAGTAAGAGTTACAAGCTGGCCGGCACTTTACTGACATAGAGGCAGAAAGAACAGCTGGATGCTGGCTTAAAAGGCTTGTAAGCCCAGTCAACCCAATACAAGAAATCTCCAGCAGATAGGACAAAAAAACAGAGAGAGCTAAAGAGAGAAGGAGAGAGCAAGACACAACATCACACAGCTTTTTGTCAGATGCACAGTCAATATGAAAGTCCCTGAAGTACAAATGATTTCACTCTCTAAACGTCAACCAAAGAATCAAGAAGCCTACACATCAACCTCCAACTCTTAGCCTGTCAATATCCCAGCCTAGTAAAGAAAACAGGGACTTACACTGGATTAACATGCAGTGTTTTCCACACAATAGGCCTCTATTCCACTAATCAACAGTCTTCAGGAACAAAGTAAAGGCAAAGCAAGGCGGTGTTTTCCAAAGCATTAGGGAACAGAGCGGTGATTCAGCCTGTCTTAAATCAGTGCACTGGCAAAAACACAAATCCAGCATATTCAGCTTTGTCAAACAAAGCTTCAAGATTCTGAAATGCAAAAAGGCTGTTACTGCAAATCCTGCCGTGATTGAGACATTCAAGTTCTAAAAGTGTTTCAGTGAGTGTGACCTTGGTTACTTTAATATCAAGACGTAGATTAAAGGCTCATGATCCTGGCACAGAACATTACACAGCTTAACAGACAGTGCAAGGGAGTAATTCTGGGTTCAATAGAAAAAGAGGCTGATTGGCAATCCTGAGGTAGAGTAGACACATATATATACCACATACAGCACAGGATCTATATAAAACCGTCTTGTAGACGCAATGCATTGGCCAGGTTCCACCGCTCGAGCACAGCAACACTGTCTTTTGCTTGGAAATGGCCTTCTGTTGCTCCAGCCCCAATCAGTAGCCAGCCATGCAGACACTTCATATCTATAGACCCCTTCAGGCCCCAATGCACACCTGACAAAGAAGAGGTCATACACACGGTCTGCAGAAACTAAAGATAAAGAAAGACGACTGAAGGGATGCAAGTGGCGCACACTGTGCAAATACTTTCTCACTCTGTGAAAAGATGCATCCTGCTATTCATACTATGCATGTGTTATTTTGTAGAAAAACTGTACGCAGACTGTCCTGTGCAGGCGAAGTTGTGACGTGGCGCTAAGCTAAAACGAGACAGCCTTTGCTACCTTTGGGCCACGTGAGTGTGTAAGTGACAGCCATGGGGACTTTGGCTGTGCAGGGGATTAGATCAGGAAGCCAAACCAGAACCACTGCGGTGGCCATGTGTGTGTGTGTGTATGTGTGTGTGTGTCAGTACAAGGCCTAATCACTTAATGAACACGGAACAGCGCAACTCCTCTGAGCAGGACAGCCAGATCAACCAGAGGGCCTTCCGCTTTCTCCCCTCTAATAATACCCGCCAACCGCCGCCTGGGAAACCTCACAGGGGCTTTAGCTCACTGGACGATCCCAGATGCCGCTCATGATCAGGCCCGGCCCATTGGGCGCTCGCCGTTGCCAGGCCAACCCCTTTCCGTAGGGGGGCCTGGGAAAAAGATCTGACAGATTAACGAATGGTTAATGGGCGAATGGGATATTATGCACTGTCATTAATCTGAATAGGTTTGGCATGGACCAGCTACACAGATGCCAGTAACCAAATGATTTTTCTAACACAGGACACACACATAATGCCCGGTCTGGTTGTTTCAGTGCATTTGAAACACAAAAATGTAATTGAAAAAGCAGGCCAAATATGCAGTACTCAATTAAAAATTCACGCCTTCCTAAAACAGTTAAAATTCTTCAAACTGGACGGCGAAGCTGTTTGGCATGCGAGAGCGAAGGAAGTTTGACATAACACGTGGATATGAGCCATAGATGCCCTCAGTGGCACCATATCATTTAAAGTCTGTAGTGTGCAGACCATAGTAGTAGCTCTATACCACCATAAACACCCATTAGGGACTCCTGAGAGCTATCTGAAAGAAAGCTGAGTCTGGCTGCGAGTGAGTGATCCTCCTGTAAACACAAATGATTAAATGTGAGTAGCAGGAGAAAACTGAGAGCGGCCAAGGTGCTTTTAATACTGCATCGGTTATTAAATTGTCCTTAAAAACCCAACAGCAACATGACCTGCACCATTAATTTCTGTCAGACTATACGGCAATCATCACATTAGCCAGTGAACATGGTGGATTGCAAGCTGGACGTGTTTGTTTGCACCATGTTTTGGAATTTTACAGGAGGCTTCTGATGGGAAAACCTCTTGCACCGATGAATGAGGGGCATCCGCTATGAAGGCTCTGAAACCCCAGGAGGGGAAAACGCTGGCCAGGTGAATTCAGCGAACCAGGAGAAGATTTCAAGAAAGCATACTGTCCGAGAGCACGCACAAACATTTACACATACACACACGGCTGCTCAGCATGACCAGCTGGACCGGGTAGGGGAAGTAACGCCTATTGTAGCCATTTTAGACAACAGATGGGAGGAAAATCTATCAGCAGATAGAAGGAGAGGAGAGGGAAAAGTCTCAGACTCTCTCTCTCTCTCTCTCTTTTGAAGGGCTTACAGAGCATGCTGCATCACTCCTGCTATTTCTGCCTACACAGGGCTGTGCCTGCTTCTCTTTTCACATGGCTCCACCGGCTGCATGTGCTTGACCGCAGAGAATTCTCCCCGCGTCCAGTCACAGCCAGTGCAGGGGTGTGTTTGCACTCATGCATACACGAGCGTGACCTAAAGTGGCACGAAATACTCTGATCCGAGGTCCCCTTTGCATCAATTATACAGCACATGTGCCGTGCAACTTTAGAAACTGCAGTGTCATTGCTGTCTGGGCTGAGATGAAGCATGTGCTCCTCATTCATGGAGCCCAGTTACATCCTCCTGGGGTAATGCACATGAATATAGAGCAGCGTGGCATCTTCTATCTCATTTCCCAGCTCTGTGAGCAGCTCATGGTGTGTGATCTGTCAAGGTGGGACCCCTTCCACTCTCCATAACGGAGGAAAACCCACGTATTGCAGTCAGAGCCTATAGGAGAAACGCCTGCCTGCCTGCCTCCCTCCTTGCGTGCCTGCGGACTAAGAATAGATCAATGTATCAGGCAAATCGGGATTAACGGCGCTGTGCTCCAATGACAGAACACACACACAAACACACACACACACACACACACAAGCAGAGGGGGAACGACAAAAAAAAAAAGTTCCATTTTCACTGCTGCCCATCACACTGTCATGATTTCTGCTGTTTGGATGCTTTCCACGCTGGATCTGCTCCTCGATCCAACGCCAACGCACAGCCAACAAACCATTTGCAAGAAAGAAAAAAAAACCACCTAAATCTCCTCGTCGTCCCACTGTGTGAACCGTGATTATGTCAAATCACCGGTGAAATAACAACCCCGTATCCTCACAAGGCTGGGCAGGTGTTTGGGAACTAAGCGAGGTAGTTATTTATCACCTGCAGACAAGCAGTCGAGAAAATTTGCAACTCGCTGCGGAGTGCAACCCCGGAATAAAATTGTGCAATTAAAAAAAATAAAATAAAAAAAAATGCGTTGAGCAAAGCTGTCCCAACTAACCTGTCTGTCCTTTCCCGAGCGTCTTCTCCAAACGGTAAGGTCCCACGTAATTGGCGTGTGGGGCACCGCTGTTGTCTTTACCGGACGATGACATGTCGAATCTGTGTGGGGAATTAGACACTTTATGATAAAGCGCAGACAATTAAACACTCCTTCGCTGGAGGTCCAAGCCGCACGTTGTCTCTCCGTTAAAAAACTCCACAGCCGCTTCTCTCCCTTCTCGCTTTCTGTCTCTTCTTTTTTTTTTTTTTTTGCCCTCTCTCTCTCGCTCTCTCTGCCTGCCTGCCTCACTCGCTGCTTGAGGAGGTGAGGCTCTCCTTTTTCTCTCTCCTCTTTTCTCTCCTATCGCTGCAGACGAGCCGCAAGTGCCTTGAATATCATTGTCGGTGAAAGCTGCGCTGCCGCTGTGCGTCTGTGGGAGGTGCTGCCGAGCCGTCCGGGGGTTGATTGACAGCCGGCGCAGCCAATCACGGAGCCGGATTTTCTCTGCTGCTGCTGCTGCTGCTGCCCTGTTTCTTGTTGCTGGAGCAATTTCTTTCTTTTTTCTTTTTTTTTTGCTTTTACCAGAAGAGTTGCAGCTAATGATTGTAAGGGTTTAAGCACACAGAAATAGTGTACTTCTAATATAAATATCTAAAGCAGAAATTGCATGGATGAGTCTTACACCAACTCCATCAGATGAGGATTGTAAAAAACTGAGGCAAATACTTTATGTATTACAAGTTTTCTGACGCTGTGTCTTTGAATAAGCTATTTAGGTCTTCTAAATCTAAAAATGACCCCATGTGCATTAATTTCTAAAACCTTGGACGAAGCCAGATTTAAAATTTTTGTTCCATTTTGTTGATATTTTATTATCAAATGTGATTTCTGATTCTTATTTTCTATCAATCCATATATTAGAAGAATACTAATCAACAGCCAGAAAAAGAACAAACGCATTTTTTTCTAGGAGTAAAATATTCCATAAATCATGCTATGTCTGATATATGAACACACCCTTTTGGTGTTCTGGTGTGTGTCTTAATAACCTTATGTAGATATTTGTGGCTCAGACTATGACACACAAAAAAGGTATTTTGAGGAAAAAGTCCTTTAAAGAAATGCATTAAAGTTAAAACCTAGACCCACATGCATATTTTAGATGTTGTCTTTCCATTAGTATGAAAGAAGGCGTGTTATGGAAGCCAGATATCACCAAAAAAAATATCAATATTAACGAATAAATGACGAATAAAAGTTTGGTTTTGCCTGCATTGTCTCACCTTAAGCTGTAGATACCTACTGTCCAAGATTTTCTCCCTGAAAAGTTTTCAAAACATCTGCTTTGATTCATAGTTATATGTCAAGTCTACACTTCACAGTTGCTGCACATTAAATCATGATGGTTTTCCAAACTTGCTGTGATGACAGAAACGGTGCTCCTGCATGCACATCTTAAATTCAGATGGATGAGAAAATGGTCTTCTAGTGCCCAACTCTGCACATACATCAGTCTGCACAGCGAACCAGAAATATCCAAGTGAAACACCAATAAGTAAAACCTATTTTTAGTGTGGTGGGACTTCTGTGTTTTTACCCAGTGCAACCAGTGCGCTTATGATGGAGGAAAGGGTAATTTGATTTACCTTGGGGTTATTTAAACACAAACGTATAGATGAATATACATGATGTGAGTGCAGGATTAAATAAAATAATAAAGTCCATAAAATCACATTTCCACACAGGACCCTCTGTATTTTAATAGTGCCAATTCCCAGATGAAACTAGCATTAATCAAATTAGCAAAAGAAAATTGGCATACAATGAACTTGAGGTTTTCATGGCCCTGCAGGGTCTGGAGTCCGGGGGCAGTTGCCATTTTGCCCAATTATCCAGCCTTAGGGGACGGTAAAGACTGGACTAAACTGAGTAGTTGAAGCAAAACCACAATTACTCCATCTCCCACCAGAAGGTGTTACAGCATTCATAAATATTCATACTGACTTTATTTACTGAGGTGTTATTAATGCAGCGAAGACCCACAGTGGAGGAGAGGGCTTTTTTTTATTTATTTTTTTTGTCATTGCCCCCTTCGTTTTTTTTTTCCTTTTTTCTGCATCCTTTCTCCTTTTACACCCCACTCTCTCTCACACACACGAGCCCGCAAACACAACCGCACAGCGACTGTGAGTGTGTGCAGCAAGGGGGAGAGTGTGTTGGCCCTCTGATTCATTTCACACCCCACTGGTCTGAGACCTGTGACTGTGTGGCTCTGGCCTCTGTCTGTTCCTCACACCCTGAGAGAGTACAGGTGTCAGGGGACACATGCAGGAGAAACGCACACAGATATCCATGCACACACACACACACACACACACACACACCGACGCACTATGTGACCTCTAAATATTCTTTAACAAAACAAGGTTGAGGCGGCCTCTGAAATATTAAGCAGAAAGAATTGCATCAACGCCACCCCCGCTGCAGGCTACTTCAGAGATGAGGGCATTCCAGAAAGATTCCCAGGCTTTTGTCTTAATATTCTTAACTATACTACTGAATTGCATATCAATGCTGAATAAGAAATTAAATTGTTAAAGTGCATCACGTCCCCATTAAATGCTTCCCTCAAAATGTAGTACAGCTTAAACATCACACACTAAACAACCACAACATTAAAAGCACTGACGAGTCAAGTGAAAGACGCTGATCATCTTGTTGCAATGCACTGTTTTGCTAGGGAATAAGCATTGCTTGCGAAACATTTTAGCACATGCACACCCCTCACAGGGCTGCAGGGTGGCACAGTTGGTTCGCACTGTTGCCTCGCAGCAAGAAGGTTGCGGTTCGCGTCCCGGTGGGGGCACCGGAATCTTTCTGCGTGGAGTCTCCATGTTCTCCCCGTGCAGCGTGGGTTCTCTCCGGGTTCTCCAGCTTCCTCCCACACAGTCCAAAAACATGCTGAGGTTAATTGGTGATTCTAAATTATCTGTAGGTGTGAATGTGAGTGTGCTTGGTTGTCTGTCTCTAAGTGTAGCCCTGTGATAGACTAGTTACCTGTCCAGGTGAACCTGCCTTCACCCTAAGTCGGCTGGGATAGACTCCAGCCCCCCGCGACCCTAATGAGGATTAAGCGGTGTATAGATAATGGATGGATGGATGGATGGACACCCCTCACATTGCAAAAACTTCTCCAGAATGGCTTGAGAAACACAACAAAGAGCCCAAGATGCCGGAGTTGAAAGTTTTGTTGCCAGACACCACAGGACCCCCACAGAGGTCCTCTGTTCACAGCCCAGTGGGTCAAATTAGGTTTTTTTGGTGGCTCAAGGGCGATCCACACAACATTATGCAAGTGGTTTTAATATTGTGGCCACTTAGTATAGCTGTGTGTTAAACCAGCTACTCCAAGCCACTTGAGGAACCAAAATTCTATTCATGCTTCAAATTCTGTAGAGAAATGTTCACGTCTAACTAAACATCCCTCTCCTCCTTTCTCATTTTTCATTCACGAAAGTTCACAAGCTGCACATGCCCCACTTTAGTGCCTTTGTAGAAAATGTGTGCCGTATTCCCTGATGCCCTTCATCCTGCTGGGAGCCACGTCTGTGCGAGGAGGTGTGACCCAAAGTGTCATCCACGTGACTGCGTGGTGCCAGGTGGACAGGGTATGTGATGTCAGCGCCAGGTGCCAGGTGGGCACCATCTCAATAATGCATCATGCCCAGCGCTGGCACTGGCAGGCGCACCACTTTGAAGTGTTCCAGAAACATCTGTAGCCTGAGTTTTTAATCACCTTGCCTGTACCTCCCTGCTTCCTATCAATCCGTCTCCACTCCTTCTCCCGCTTTCCTCCAAACAAATTAACGAGAAGGCTTCTTAGCTCGTGTTTGAGCTTGTGTGTTGGTGTTCCTATGTGAACATGTGTTTATGTGCACATTTACGCGTGCCAACCCGCAGAGCCACCAAGCTGCAAAAATTCAATCAGCTGGATAAACAAAAAATCCAAAAAACGCTCCTTGTCTTCTGGGTGTTTGTGGAATATTCAGCAAAGCAAGAATTATCAAAGAGTTGTGTTAGATAACGCAAATTTACCATCAGCCAAATAGCAGTTGGCTGGAATTGCAGGCTCTGAGCACTTCGCAGTATGTGCATACTAATGGTCTCCTCTCAAACAAGTGATCAGCTAAACAATTCTGTAAAGACGAGATAAAAAATAATGGGGAAAAAAAAAAGTGCACAGTGCAAGACCTCTTCAATGGGAAAGTTGATTTATGATCTGCACATCTCTCTCTCTCTGTTTGCCAGAGAGAAAGATGTGATGAAAGCCGAGGTGCGCCAGAATGAAAAAATAAATTAAATAAAATACCACGGGGAAGGTGAGAGACAGAGCGAGAGGTTTACCAAAAAAGTGGAACATATTTGATGTGCGGCGAGAGTCCAATAACCTCTGGACGTGAAATGGAGACCAGGCTGCATAATTACTTCGCCATACTACCATGTAATGAATAGCTTGATCGCAGAGTCTGACCGGTTCAACAGGAGGCCCATAAACATATTAACCTACACTCAGTTTCTGCACACAGTCCCACACCAACACACAAATTTACACTCCTGTAGTGCAACAGTGTTTCCAACCAGGAACAACCGGCTGCACGCGCGTACAAGTGAACTCGCAGCCCTTTAGGGTTGTACAAACTGGTTATTGCCAGCTAGCTGCGCGCTGAAAGCTGTCGGCCATTACCGGATTGGCCGGCGTAGTGCGCTTGATTAATTAGCGTGTCATCGGGATACAGAGGAGACTATTAGTGTTCATCTGCAAACATTTAGAAAGCTGGAGGGGAAGAGAAATGAATGAAAGGGCAATGTATTTGGATTTCAGGGTGACCGGACCTCTGCTAGGCAAATTAAGAATCATCTGGTGGCTTTTTCGAGCTGGAGTTTGACACATAAACTGATGAGAAGAGAGGAAAGACATCAGGAAGCAAACACAAAAAAAAAAAGTGGCAGCAAAAGCAGAAAGCGATCTAGAAAGATTCTATTCATACATCGGACACATAATACAGATCACTTCCCATTGTGGACACAAACAATTGAGGCGAGGTCATAGAG